GCCTACAGCTTTGCAGCTAATTACTGTATCATAGTAGCACTTACTGAGCTCAGTTGTGGATCACAGCCCTGCTGTGCTGCATAAAAACAAGCATTTACTTCAAAGTCCTTGCAGCTTTTTTTTTTTTTGTCTTTTTCTGGCTTTGGTACTGGAAGATATCCCCTCCTGCTGCCCCTTATATAAAGGCAGTTCTGAACTCTGCCCTGCAAACATCTCTGACTCTGAAGCAGTCATAAAATTGGAGCTGTGTGTTTCCATATTCATGTTTATTCACTACCTTCATATCATCCCAGATATAAGCATCAGTGAAATGGCTGCAGATTTTTTTCAGTGGGAGCTTTCCAAACTGCAAAAATAAGCATGCTGATTTTTCAGGTGTTCACTGGAGAGCTGAGCAGAGAAAATCACTGTGCAGTCTTCAGGAAAATTTATAATAAAGAAGTGATTTTATTTTTTCTAAGTCAAGTTAGCAAGTGGAAGGGCACATGATCCTCTCGTAGGTCTCCTGCCTTCACAGTCATTGCAGTCTGACATCAAACCACTGCTCCCTTCCCTGATGAGGGATGAGTCAGCCATGTATTTAACTTGTTTTCACAGAGCTGCCCTAGATACAAAGTACTAAAGGAAAGCTTCATATTTCTATTGAGCGTTATAACAACAGCTAAATATTTTTTGAGTTGCGAGAGGTGACATCCAGCTATTCAACCAAAGGGCTTTTTTAAAAAAAATGTAGTGGCAAAGTATGGCCCTGCACAGACTGAGCTGGATTGGCATCTGCAGGAAGCTATGGTCACTAACACACATCCACAGAAAAATTGTGTCTTTATGCTTCAGCCTTTCAAATCAGTTAATAACATCTTTTACCTTCTTTCTCTACAGCATTTGACTTCCTTACATGTAAACTCTACTTAGTAATGAAACACTTTACAGTAACATCTGTGAGTAAGAATCCATTTAGGATAGCTTTATACTGTCTGTGGCAAAAGATCACCACAGATAACCACAGTACTGTAAAATGGTCAAACATCTCTGACAAAAACATGTGTTACAGCTAAGATATATTTCTATCCTATAAAAGTGATGCTAAAAGACATGTAAGGGTACTTAGTCCCTTACTGCAATATCTCTAGTATTTTAATAAAACATTTTAAATTTCCTTATGGACATAGGATGGAAAAAATCATCCTACAAAACCGTATAGTAACGTATGCTTTGGATGCTAAAATACTGTCAATGTATGAAACAAAATGCTGCAGTACAAATAATGAGAAGGAATTTGACATTTTTTTTTCTTATCAGCCTTGTTGGTGTATCAATTTTCCTTTTCACCGTCATGATGTTTTTGTCCTTAGCAAGGTAAACTAAGGACATCACTTTAAAAATTATGTATCAGAAGTGGTCAGTAATAAGAGTTATAGCTTAAAAAAAAAACCCCAAATTCTATTAATGATTACGTGGTGAAAGTAGGATTTGACATACATAACAACAGCCAAGTAGAAAATATACCTTGACCTTGAAAGCCTGTTTCTCAGTAACTAAATAGTACATAATAATGATCTTACATCAGCAACAGAATGAAAGAAATTTCCAGCACATAAACAATTTGAGTATAATGTTAACAAATGCCTTAGGAGGAAAAGGGGAATCAAACTGTAGACAAGTCCACTGTGGTTAATAGACAAAGGAGCAAAGGAGTCCAGTCCATCCTTAATCTGGGATTGCTTTCTGGAAAAAATGCTCACACTGCTCAGAAAGATGCTAATAATGCAGCACTGATAAGTTTACAGTGATATGATTTCTACCCATCTTTGGAATATACAAAATAAAGGTACTGTTCGACTTCACTGACACTGTCAGAAATCAAAATTAGACATATCAGAACAGATGGCCGGTATGTATATACACAGATTGGCCTTACACCTGTACGTAGCCTTTTAGGAACTGAAACCTCAGATGGGAAAAGACAAAATCCAATATGTATGATGGGACTTGGCCAAAGTCACTAAGAAGACAAATGTGAGGTACAAAGGCAAGACCCAGCATAGTAATCTTCCTGTTGTCCTCTGGTCAACAGTCCTCTATCATCAGTCCGTTATCATCAGTCCTAAGGAATTTGAAAAGTGATTGAAAAGCCTTCATGTAGTTAAGATGCATTTCCTCATATCACTTCAAAGGAAAGAAGAACTATGAATCTGAACGTAAAGGTTTGCTTTGTTTAAATGTTTACTTACTTTAATACAAAAGAAGCTTGTATGTCCTGGCAACAAATGGCTTCCTTCCCTGCCCCATCTGCCCTTCCATGCTCTGCCCTAACCTAAATGATTAATTCACTGCATCAGCACACTTGAGTCATGAGACTGGACGGTACTGATCTATGTGTTTAAACCACAGAGGAGAAGTACTTTTTAAGCTAACCCAATTTTTGTATTCTCAGTTAGACACAAAAAGCCACTGTGCACAATGTTGGCTCAAGTAAATCACTAAGACATTTTGCCTTAAATATTGTACTGTAGTTACCAATATTAGCTCTTAGCATACAGGATGTGAATTATAGTAGTAATAATAACGATAATAATTGTTACAAACTGCAGAGTTTCTCATTAGATAAACTAGTATAAAATGATACAGTGACACAAGAGATTCCAGGATTTTTTTGTTGCTTGAAAGACAAACTGTGCCTGGGGGACAGAAATCTGAAACAAGTTTGGTGATGAGATTAAAAACATCAGTCCTGTTGTCCTCATTTCACACAGGTGTATGTGCTCTAGGAGAGTAAGACATTGCAGCAATTATTCGACTGATTCCAAAGTCTCTTTCGTATATATAAATTTGTGTAATAAAGGGGCACTGGAGCAATAAAAGTATATATTTTACTGATGGTTATGAAACACTGTGTGCCTGAAATAATTATGATGAGTAATGCCAAATGGCATTTGCAAACTTAAACAAACTGAGTCACACATCTTGTAGAAAGCAGTACGACGTACTTGACAACAAACCAATCTACAGCAATGAATTAGTGAAAGCCAAAGTAGTTCAACTGCTGTCCAGAACAACATAAATAAAAAGGAAACAATTCAAACAACATTACCATTACCTGGGAATTTTTTTTTTTTTTTAATTTAATGTTATTTAACCTGTTTTCTTACTAACATTGAAGGTATTATAGAAGTTATTTTTGCAAAGCAAATAATTTTTTAAAATCCTTCAGTATTTTTTTAAGGATTTGAATTTAATTTGTTTATTTACATTGCACTAAATGAACCAAACATACTTTCATGTTACTTTTTGAACAGAATCACAGAGAAAAATGTCTTAAGCTTTTATATGGTGAACAGTGACAGCTTCTACATGGGAGAATGTGAAATGAGCTGTTCAAAATCTCTATACAATGAGATTGGAAAGTAATAAAAATATAGTGAACCTGTAATTTCCTTTTAATGTATTGTCTAGAAAAATTCTTGTATTCAAAGGAAAAAACACTCTTAACTGAAGAGTAGGAATCTACTGATAAATGTATCAAAACAACAAACAAGAAATAAGTTAGGAAAGAGACAATAAAGTCAAATGCCTTGTCAACAACTGTACTAAAGGTCACATATTCACTAGCTGTTTTACTGTCTGACTGCATTTCGCAGTGCTTGTCCTCAGAACTGAAAGGCCTAGACATGTGCCACACGTCAATGAACCCAGAGCCACTTGAGCTACTCAGTAATAAATGCTAAGATGCAGAATCTCTCCTAAATCCTGATCTCCATGGTGTGATTAAGTATGTTCTCGCTCTTGGTCTCACAGCCTTCTTGGACATTCTTCTGAAAATAAATGTCTATTGGGAAGGTGGGAAGGATTCCTTGTGGTCAGAGATGGCAGTCAGGAGGTAGAGAGGTTCAGTGCAACTCCCTTCTCTGCACCACAAAGCAGCTGAGCGTATAGAATAAATAAAAAACTCTCATCCCTTCCTATTGAGCTTTGTACTGCATACCTAAAGATCTTCTAGCCTGCTAAAAGCAGAGTGAAAACAAGCAGGACTCGACAGGCTGGTAGCAGCCATTCTCTGTACAGCAGAAGACATTCTCCAGGCACCAGCATCTCACCCTACCCAGCTTCCCCACAGCAGCAACACCTGCCACGCCAAATGGGAGCAACTGACCCAGTCTTTGATGGGTGTCCCTCTGAACAGGCATGCTACAAATGCACAGAACAGATGGAACCCTTCAGGCAGTGTAAGCAAATGTTTATCTGGTTTTAGAATCCAGATGGGGCTTAGCTCAAGGTAGGTGTTCATCTGGTCAGTACTGTCAAAAATCAGATATTTTTCGAACCTTGAGGCTTAGGGTATGAGGATCTTTTAATCACCAATGGTCATTTTTTCTTTTTTTATCTAAACTATCAAGGTTTCATATTGCTACTTCCTGAATTTCATTCCATTAACAAAATATTTTATGTAGAAGAGCCACAATGAAAAAAGGGATGATTTTGATTCAGGCTCCAAACTCATCTTGCATTGAATCATAGGATCATAGAATCATTTGAGTTGCAAGGGACCCTTAAAAAGTCATCTAGTCCAACCCCCCTGCAATGAACAGGAACACCTACAGATTGATCAGGGTGCTCAGAGCCCCATTCAGCATCTCTTGCAGCTATTCCTGATGGACATTTCCAATGTGGAGTCAAACATTTAGAATAAGGTAACCCCGCCCTTTCAGAGAACCTCAGCAGTCTGAGTTTATAAAGTTGTCTCGTTAATAGACCTATCTTTTCACTATTAAATTTCTTGGTTGGCAGAATATCTCTAGTTTTCAGCTCTAGTACTATTAGTGTTCTATTTATTTTATACATTTATATATTCTTATACCCACATATAACCACTTATACTTTATGAAAGATGTATTTAAAAAAAGCTTCAACTCGCTCCCAGCCTCAGAAAAACAAATAGAATTCAGTTCAAGCCTATCAGCAAGAAGCTTGGAAGCAGCTTTTGCAGAGTAAACTGTGCTTACCATCAGGAGCCCTTTATATGCGTAGACAATCCCAAGCCAAATTGTCATGTGAGTGTTCTCGCAGTGCTCCAAGATGGGTCGGATGGAGATGTCTCTGCCTGCAGGGTCCGGCTACAAAAATAAAGAGTGAGATATTTGGATTTAGGTTTTATCTGTAGTCATACCACAGAGGCAGTTAATCTACTCTCAGTAGCTTGAGGATGTGTAGAATATTCAGTGGGTAACATGAAATAAAAACTTGTGATGTCTGTTCCATCAACCTGCAAAGGAATGGAGTAAAAAAGTAAAGATCTGAGGAAACAGCTGCATGATAATTACCAGTAGATGAGGTCACCCCTACTGCAAACCAGAGAGAAAACATCCGAAGTCACTCTGTCTTTAACTGTGCCAGTCACATTTATCAGCATTAGGACACCTATTTTTTCATGAGGTGAAAAGCTTGAACGTGCAGCCATGAAAATAAATGTACTTGAAGTCATCCTTCCTTTCACCTGCACTTCTTGTGTCACTGGCAAGTGGCTGATAAACAGTGTATGAAATACTTCTGTGTTTCAGATGTTTATTCAGTGATAACCACGAGCCAAATCAAAGACCATCTACTAAGGAAATCGCAGCAGCAGCTCAGTAGATAGTATAAATCATCAAAAATGTGGAGCAAGTGAGTGTCTGTGCAAAATTTAATATGGTTAGAAGTTTTGTAGATTTCCATTAATTTTGGAAAGGAGATTGTATAAATGAGCAGAATCAAAAGGACCTGCAGACTGCCAGGAGTGTTTGTATGAGGGAGAAGTTATAATTAATGCTCAGAGAATCCTGCAAGAACTCCTCTTTTTTATATCAAGAAAAAAAAATAACATTCAACACAGAGGGGACAGGTCTGTGTCTTTTTTCTCCTATGCTGCCTATAATTAGGATATGGACTAGGTTAGAGTGAAACTGCTTCTTAATGGTGTGCATCCTACAGGAATACAAAGCACTTCTTACATGTGATTTTAAGAGATACTGTTTTCATTAGGTACCAGAGAATGCTCCTTTTGGCTATTCAGAGCTGTGTGCAGTTACCTTCTGTGTTGCTTTCAGAACAGGCTGAAGTCCTGACAGCTATTTTTGGTTCCTGCTTTGAAACACTGGATCTGATCTCCAGCTCAAGTGAGATCAATGCAGATGCAGCCTTCTGTACCTGGCTCTCCCTGTAGGCTCTGCAGTTTCCCTTTGTGACAAGCAACACATGTAAAGAGTCTCACAGAGTAGAGTAATGATTATATCATAAGCTAAGGAAAGAACACATTTTCACCAACTGAAATGCAGAATTGTGTGTGGAAGGACTTTAGAAAGATCTGAGTTTATTCTACAGCTCATTCTTGCTGCTAGTGTGAATTTTTCTATTGACCTCAGAGGTGACAGCATTAATGCCCAGCTCTCTTTTCTTCATTAGACATTTCAGATAGGAGACATTGTCCCTGACCTCATATAGATTAAAAAAAGCTTACAAGTAAGGGGATATACATGGGAGGAAAACTCAGCAAACAAGCTTGTGTTATGTGCTGTATGGTGGCAAGATTCACAACCTCCCTTGCAAATCTTGCAGCAGGCAGCACAACAACATTTAAAATCTATTTTTACCCTGGGCTTATGTAGATACCCTGAGCTGGAAAGTAAAGATCTTTCAAAAAAAGTTGCACAAAATAAAATAGAAATGAGAGTGGCAATAGTAACTGTCCCTGAGTTCATGATTCCATCCTAAACAGCTGCTGATGGCTAGCAAATAACCAATGACCACAGAACTCAAATAGGTGAAAACATGAAGAAATATTACAACATTTAAGATACTACAAATGTTTGTCTGAGGACCAGTAGAACTACCTATTTCTCCCTGAACAATTTATGTGCACGGAAGGGAATGCACACTTTCATGTCATAGTTAACAACCTGCAGTGTTCAACCATTTTTAACCAAATCCAGGTAATTTGAATTACTCCAAACTCTTGTTGGGTCAGCAGTGGATTACCTTTTTATTTTCACTATGTGGCTACTCTCTAATGCAAATTTGTGTCAAAATTGGAAAGTCACAGTTCATTACTCAAAACTGAAAGTCCTAGTCAGAAAAATGGTGAAATGGAAAACACAACTTCTTATGAAATTGTATTAGAGAGAACAGACTCACTCAATATCCTTAATATGAAGATTGCCAGATTTTATAAGCCTATGATAATTTTTAAAATATGCTAATTAAATAATACATTGTATCCAATAATCCACGTGAGATAAGTAAGTCTTGTGAAGTGCTCTGGAGGGATTAGGAAAAGGGAGAATACTGACTGCAGCATCAGCCAAATTATACATGGGACGGCACTTCTCCCAAAGCACTTTTCAGTGGGAAACAAGGTGGGAACACATTAAACCAAATGTTGTGGAGTACTTGTGCATTTGGAGCTAAGTGTTGGCAGGTAGGAGTAATTTTACAGTGCACCGACTTTGCTGATTACTTGTCGCTGCTGCAGAATGACATTCCTGGTGTACTGCTTTTAATTTGCCATTCTGTTTCTTCACTGATTTTGCATGAATTAACTAATCATAGCAAAAAGCTGGGTTAAAAAAAACATATGATATTTTCTGATGTCAAAAGAATTTTTAAAAACTCTACAATTACAGCTGAATGGCGCACTTCACTGACCTCCCTAATCATCCACCATTTGTGCACTTTGTTACTGCTTTAGAGAGGATGACAACATAAATGCTACCAGTGATTATATATGTACTGGAAATTTGCCCTTTCCTTTTATAGAAAACAATATAAATGCCCTTCAGATGACATTCTCAAGGCCTGAAGACCTCCTTTCTTGTAATTAGGCTGAAGCTTTCCTACCTCTTCTGAAACCTAATAAGGTTTCTGACATTGATATCAGTTTCTGGAGTATTTTCCATGGTTGAATGTAAACAGTTTAATCCATTCACTTCATACACGAGTTGTGTGTCACCTCTGTAAAAATGCTTTTTTTACATCAGATCTGCTTTGTTTAGGAAGCAACTCAAGTCAGTAAACAGATAACCTACAAAATAATTTCCCCTTTCATGCACTTTAAAACTGTTATGTTACTTCTGTAGTTTGGTTGCCTTTTGATTTTCTTTGCTCTTCAGTCTGCTGGTGGGCTGGCAGATCCTCTTCATTGTAGGTGAGAAATGGCTTAGGTGGGTACTGCCAGATGGAAGAGGAAAGCTTAAAACCATCTGGCAACAGCAGGGAAATTTGCAAGAAAGATCAGGGCAGGGGCAATGACAGAGATTGCTGAGTGCCTTGCAAATTCCTGCACAGTGTCAGACTAGCCCAGACACAACAAGAATCAAGTGAAAAGCACAGTTTTCAGTGGAAAAAATACAGTGTGGTGGCCAGCTCTTCTTGCCTCATGCTGAGTTGTGCAAATATAGGGCACCCTGCGGCACTTTTGCCATCTGGGAAAGATGTTGTTTGGTCCATATAAATAATGTTCAACTCTCTCTTCTTCATTTAGAACTACAATTTCTTTTTCTCTGTGTCTATTTAAGTAGCCAAAATCCATTTGGAAAATATTCTATGAAGTGGGAAGACATTTCTGTTATGGCAAATATATCACAGGTGTTGGAAGGGACCTCAAGAGATCACTGAGTCCAAGCCCCCGCTAAAGCAGGTACCCTACAACAGGTTACATAGGTAGGTGTCCAGATGGGTCTTAAATATCTCCATGACCTCTCTGGGCAGCCTGTTCCAGTGCTTTGTCAACCTTACCATAAAGAAGTCCTTCTGTGCTTTTGTATGGGACTTCCTGTGGTCAAGGTTTAGGCTGTTGCTCCTTGTTCTATCACTACACACCACTGAGAAGAGCCTGGCCTCAAACCAGTTCATTGCTACAGTTACACATAGGTCTTAAAGGGAGAAGGGGCCTACGCTCCTCAAAACATCCAACAAAAGGCTTTCTGTTTGTTTCCAGAACATCTCGGCCCTCCTTGAGCACTTCTCCATGGTCATCTCTCAGGATCCTGCTGCAAGGACAGCAGATAATAATTGAAAGAGATCTGGTGCTGCTTCAAAGAACAGCTCACAGGTGGAGGATCTCAGTAAGCTTTCTAAGATTTCCAGTACATTTTATTATTTACACAGCTGCAGCTTCATCAGTAAGAAAATCAGAATATTAGGCCTATAAGCTTTTTCAATGATCGATATAGAAAATAAAGTAAATAGTTGCAGCTTCTGTTTACCAAGTTTAAAATGAACTGTGCAGTTCCCATCATATAGGAAAATATGGGATGATATTCTTCCATCGATCTTCATATGCCATCCCACTCTCTGTTTTATCTTCCCTTTAAATGGCTTCCATTTAACTGCCATAATGACTGTATACTATCACTGTTCTGCAGCATGAATTAGACATCTTTGGCATTTTAAATTTGGCACACACAACAGTCATATGGAGACCAAAAACGATTCCTTATCTGAAAACCCAGACTTTGCTAAACAAGAAGATCACTTTTACTTCTTTTTTAAATTAACATTTTTTGCAAGGATAATTATAGTTAGTTTTTACTGTAAATGCTGTATGTGCAGGTTGTAACAGACCTTCCTTGGTGCTAAACTACATATCCATATGTAAGGTGTACCAGCAAAGGATTTCAGCAGGTTTATATGCAGTGTATTGTGGCCAGGCTCTCAATTACTGAAGAGAAGAAACACATGCTGTCTACTTCCCAGTTACTTAATGATTTGGTGATGTTTTTAGAGCAAAACAACGGTGACACAAAAAAGTGATTTGTGAGGAAATAGATCTTTTTGAATGTTTTTTATTTGGTGAAGTAATAGCTTCTTTGAATGCAAAATAGCAAATGCAATGCTGTGCTAGGGTAGCCTCATCTAGAATGTCTTCCAATCAAATATTTGGTAAGCAACCTAGCATAAAAGTATACTTATTTTTGTCCATAGCTGGGCTTGGGTTCATATACACTGTGAAACATATCGCATGTTCAGTAGTAGTTCTGCTGACTACAAAACTTACTAGATACCAGCAATGCACTGACAAATAAACCGAGATCCACTCAAGATTACTGGAGAAGGTCAGTCAATTTTGTAGTGGTCTAATGAT